GGCCTCCAACCTACTAGCGATGGCCTCCAACCTACTAGCGATGGTCTCCAACCTACTAGCGATGGCCGCGGCCTCCAACCTGCTAGAGATGGCCTCCAACCTAGTAGGTATCAAAACATGGAGTATATAGGTGTGGCAACGTTTACATAGGGTGTAACCCAAACAGGGTATTATTGTTGAAGAGTCCTCCATCATTGTCCATCACTTTTCAAGCAACAAATGCAGAAATGAAATGCTTGGTCTTCAATGATTTGAGGCTAGATCAGATTTGGGCGCCAAACAGGCCTTGCACAAACTGACCTCCTTGGATTGCATCAGTACAGCAACCCACTTGGCTGTCCGACGAGCCATCTTTGGGCCGCTTTGAGCCTGCAAATGCAATGAGGGATAGCTGTACGCCCGTCTTGACCCCACATTCCATTTTTCGACAATCGTGGAGAAGGTATTCCCCCATGAGGTTAAGAATGCGTCAAAGATAAAGAGGCTTCGGCCTTCAACATGTATGTATATATAATTAATTCTCTACGAGCCAAAAGAGCCATAGCGAGACCTGCCTTCGGAGTCTTTCTTGGCCCCATTCTTTGGAGCGACTGGGCGGCCAGCTCGGGAAGCACCAAGAATTTGCAAAATAATCTTGCGATAGTTGAACTGTGAAGGATATTCTGCGACCGATACAAATGCCGGTGAAAAGCAATCCGATGCCTTTGCGCAAGCTGATTGCCCCTCAATGAAAAAGCCAGCCAGTCTTTCAAACGTCGATGCCCTTCGGATACTGTAGCTTGTATGTAGCTTTGTGCTCCCTGCGCCATACCCTCGCTTTCTGTCATGCTCCCTAAAACAATGGTAGAAACAAGGGCTGCAATGCTCTGCCCGACGACAAGCGAAGGCACTCAGAATATTGTTTTGTTTCGTCGACCACAGCCGCAGCCATCGAAGCCAAAAGCCATTGGAAGCCATTCTGGCTGGGCCATCCGCAGCCGGGAAGACTACCATGGCTCCGTGCCCAAAGGGATCTGTCCGCCTTGAAGCTTCAACCATCCCTGAGCGGATTTGGCCCAAAGGCCGCTGTAAGTAGTTACTAGTAGCTTCTTGCTCCTAGTAGCGATGCCCATGTTCCTAGTAGCTTCTTGTTACTAGTAGCAATGCCAGGAGCTACTAGTAGCTTCTTGCTCCTAGTGAAAATGTTTGGAGGCGCAATGCCAGAGCTGTAAGATCCTTCACAAGTGGTCATGTCGCTACACAAAGTCAAGAAGAATGTGTATATTTGTACTGTACTGTATATGATTGTTTTATACATATTCCATGGCTTGGCGAATTGATGTCATGGTTTCCCTCCACACCCACCTTCCCGTAGTCGTGGCGGAAGTCTTCCGGCCGTGCTCCATTGGCTTTCGCCTGGAAATGGATCAAGGATCTATTGTGCGTTCAGGCGCGAGGATACCCTTGAGAGGGATGGATGAATGATGGTGAATGCCTAAGTCGGCCTAAGTGAATCTTCAGGATAAAGAGTGATATGGACTGAACCCTTCCACTCTCCTCCTTCAACACATTGAGCGGCACCTCGCCATAGGTCTTGGACCTCTTGTAGCGTTCGTAGAGATCATGCGATTTGCTACCAGGCCTCTTCTGATTCTCCTGCGATGGACGGGATGGATAGCCGCTAATTGTTGAACGCTCGGAGGTGATAAACACAACCGTTTCTCTCGCTTGCTGGGATAGTTCCCCTTCGCCATGGCCTTTGAAAACAAACATAATATAAATAACTAAATATATATATATATATAAGAACAATGAGAAAGCCAAGGGCATTCTTTCCCCTCTCATTGGAACGAGCCCTCCTTCCTGCTTGAGTCATCTGGTCATCCAGTCCTGCTCATACTCGAGCGGAGTGCTGTCTGGCAGTTCGCTCCATTTCACAGAATTGGACATTGTCCATCTGGACAAGTCCAGCTCGCCACAAGATCAGAAAGGCGTGCTTCCCTTGGGCTTTAGTGCCAACCACGTCTTCATCGGTGTCGAACCAAATAGCCATAGTGAGTCCAAAAAACAGGAACAAAGATGAACAAAGTATAAGAAAGTATGGAAGACAAAGATCTTCATCTGTTTGAGTTGGATGGGGGGGACTGCTGTGACATGATGGCCAATGAATTGGTGGCCTGCCCACTCCGAGAGTGGCACAACGATTCACCTGTGAATCCTCTGGCACTTCCTAGCAAAACATGAGAGTAGCTCAAGTCTGACTATTCATCAGCCTGGTCGAGGAAAGTGACCCCATGATGCCAACAAGAAGCAAAAAGACACTGCAAATCAATTAACGTGGCATGTTGCGAAAGAAGTCCAAGAACAACTGCTACAGAACATCGCATTTGAGCCATCTTCAGTGCACAAACTGGGATGTCGTTGTAAAAGCTCATCGCGATGACATTGAGCCGGGTCTACCTAGTTCCAATTTCAAGCGGCATGGAAATTCGAATGAGCCAAGAAATCAATCATGAGAAGTGACAATAACACCTCCAAGAAAGGGTCAATGATGTTGCCCGAAGAAGTTCAAAATCTTTGCCGTGACTTTGGCAACTTCAGATCTGCCCGAGGAAAACCTGCAGATACAAAAGGAGAACGCTTGCATTGACCCAAATGCATGGAATAGTCCCCAATGAACTGGCTTTTGAAGGAAGGACCTCCAAATTCTGGCAAAGCGCTTTATGATGCTCCATCCTACATGCTCTTTCTGACTGTTCCACACCCAGACGTGCTGAGCACGGATCCATTTTTGCTCTGGCTGCAATTGCAGATCAGAAAACTAGTCAGCTGAAACTTAAATTCCGTCGCGGATGGTCTTACTCCTGCGCATCTTTGTCACGATTAGCAGGATGTTCATCTCAAACGTGCATACAGGCCCCAGGCAAAGCCTCGGGCAACCTCTCCAAAGATATGATCATCCAATCTTTTTAATGAAATGTCAGGCAAGGGAGCCGGCCAATGAGGGAGGCAAACCAAGAACACAGACGTGGTTGGGCAAGGCGTTGGAGATTGCTGCTATCATTGTTAACATCAAGCTGGCTGTTCGTGCATAAGGCAGTTTTTTCACATCTTTTCACTACTTGGAAAATGGCACCTCTCTCTTCAAAACTGCTGTCGAGACTGCCCTGTAGTACTGTAGGGCACCCAGATCCAAGTACTCCACAGATTACTTGCCAACAGGCGTTAACAAGACCAACAGAAAGAAAACAACTGAATGATCACACATGAATCTTGTAAGGCTAAGGCTGAGTCTAGTTACTAGTTATATACTAGTTCTTTAAATTCATGGTCTCTTCACCTTCCTTCTATCTTCATACTATTGTTGCTATTACAAAAAGAAACGATCCTAGCAACTTGCCTTTGGGTTTGTTGCTTGCATTTTTCTGTGAAATGTGACAGTGTGGCTTTCTTAAAGGGACAGGACAGCCATCCGACCGAATGCGCTCAAAGTGGACACTTCTGTTCCTCTGAACCCCCATGGGGGCGTTTCAGCTCGAAGCTCTCCAAACCAGTTACATCAACGACTGTTTCCTCCAAAGAACTCTCAGCGGGTTTTACTGAAACCTCTGAGCAAACTCAGCTCGGCTTCCTTTTGCATCCTTTTGCCACAGTTCTGAAGTTCTGATGCAACATATATCAACATATACTATATTTGGAGACTCCCACAGCAACCTTCCATGTGTCGCTCTTGGATTAAATAAAGCAAATCAGGGGTGTAAGCGCATAGGCGAACATGGTATAAAGATTTGAGTGGAGGGAACCAAACCTATGTTGTGGGTCTGCCACCCCTGGTTAGTTGAAATAACAGGTCCTTCCCAATAGGTCTTTGGCCCTACCACATGTTTAATTCTAGTGAGAGCGTGTCATGGGCTCGATCAGTACTGAGCATAAACATGAATGTTTTCTCAGAAACTCATTCCTGTCGTGTTTGGAGAACTTGCTCTTGTGTACAACCTCTACCCCAGCAGGTCTAGTGGGGCAAACTATCTAACAAAGAAGCGACAGCTCCGGACCGTTCAGGATAAGTTAGTTTCCAAGGAACAAACCGATTACCTACCCAAAGGAGGCTGAAAAATCCAGTTTGGCTGTGGCAGCTCTCGCCCATAATTGCACTTTCCATCCTTCTGATTTAGACCCTTGCTATGATGCTGAATACATTCCCCTGTCGCTGAGGTGACTAGTCTGAGAGGTGAAGTACGTCCAACCAAGAATATTGGGTGTCCACTGAAAACCCAGCATGTCTATTTACTGTAAATCGACTGAAGAAATGCATCCGATCTTCTCAGGTGCTTTCTGGGGTCAGATTTGAACAATCGGATCCTCAGTGTCTTGGTATCGTTGTGCTGCAAATTGCTAACCACCAAATGCCACAAAATGTGTCGCTAACCACTTCCGAACGGCAATCGCTATGGCGCAGCACGGCTCCAGACTGCGCAAAACAACGGGCGGACGAAGCACAGCCACCTTGTGCACAAACGCCTGTTTCGCACTTCGACAAGGCTGGGCCCAACATGCCCATAGGAGGTATATATTGTGTTTCTAATTGCAACAGAATGACACATCAAATGACTCAAAACTTCCACAAGAATGAAAATGTCCCGTTCGAAAACCACTAAAATCATTTTCAACCAAAGAGCTTCTACAGCACGGTCTTCAAGCACTCTTTCCGTGCGCGGCGCAGCCTGGAGCCGTATTGTCCAAGAACTGACACCACTCTACAGATGTCACACCTGGCATCTCCTGGCATCAATGACGCGTCTTAAGAGTCCAGTCTGAAGTCCAAGAGACCACAAAAAGACCGTTCTTCCAGAAGCGTTCTTGTAAGGAGGCCAGTGGAGGCCGAAGAAACACGCATGAGCATGGAAATAGACTCACAGTCTTGAAATGATCACCGGAGCTAGCCTATCTGGACGCTTGGCCAAACAATATGCATGATGCCAAAGCATTAGCATCTTTTTGCCAAGATTCTAGTTGTCTGAAACAAAAACAAAGTGATTGGACCTCAACTGGAATCAATGTGCCCAGCCTCACTGGTGATTCTGGGTCATGGGCGCCATCTGCCCCATTTGTGGAGTCATTTGTTGGTTCGGCGTTGGAGGCTGCTGCTGTTGTTGCATGTTGTCCTGGCGGCGCATGCACGACTTCACCACTAAACTATTTTAGTCCTTGTGGGAAAGCAGCTTCGGTTGGCTTGGGGAGATAGAGCCTAATCAGGACGGGAGAGATGCTAAGCAGCCGGAGACATGCCCCTGTAGAAGGTCACAAGCAGCATAGGGGAGGCCTTGAATGTTCCTAAACTTATAACGGAGGTTCAGGCAGAGGGGAAAATTAAGTGGCAACACTCGTATAGGCTTAGCGGCTTCCCTATCAGCAAGTGGTACTGTCACCTCCCAAACATGAAGCTGCTTTGTGGTTAGGCTGCTGGGGTTGTCTGCAAACGCTCGCGAAGGGTGGACGTAACTCAGTCAAAGCCAAGTTTCAAAATGTTCAACTAGAATTAGGGAGCTTAGTGAATTTTGGTGGTGTAGCATGCTGATCATATATTTATGCCTGGGACATGTACTGTGAATCGTGATGGTCCCTTGTTGACATTCTCCAAGAGTCCATTGTTGTACTGCGGGGCCATATTCTTTGCACTGTGTCAGTCTGTGCGTTGGTTCTGTGTAGGATTCTTAGAGTCGTGGAGGTTTGAGTTCGGTCTTGTTTAGGACGGACACATCCTACTAAACCTGATTGCCCTGTTGAAGAAAGACGCCACAACATGTGTATATATATAGCGAAACACGAAAGGAATCGGATCTAGAGAAGCGTCAAGACTTTGACTTTAAGTGTGGTTTCAGGGTGAAATGTTCTTGTCACTTGTCATTGATGTGTCAGCTCTGATAAGGTGCTATCATTCTTCAAACGTGGGGCAAACCCAGAGTAATGAAGTGCTAAGTGGGGACCCGGCGCTTCCCTGGCCAGATGACCGGGTTCATCTGAGCAACCAGGTGGACTGAAAAAGTGGCCGACTTCAGTCCTGCACCATGACAATACCAGCGGGAAAGCAACCGCCGCAGCCGCAACTGCCAGGTCCTGCAAGGTGCGGCCCTCAAGTCTTCATACTGGCCATATTGGTACATTGGCCCCCAAAGACAGCAAAGATCTTGTCCTGGGTAAGAACTAAGCCTAAGCTGCTGGTCCCCCGAATCCACAACGGGCTATTTCCCAACCAAATCTGTTAGTCAAGTGATACACACCCTGCTTCATTCTGGTCTAGCACAAATCAATATATGCCTTGCACAATCCACAAACCTGTTGATAACATCGCATGGTCACGGTCCATGTGTCTTTTGGATCCGACCTATAATATACAGTACAGTAGTATGATTGCAAGTGGAGAATTGCTATAACATACACAGTCCTGGTGAATGGAACAAGCGTAATAATACATATATATATATATAATATAATTATATAGTAATATAGTTGTAAGGGAGGGGACGAAAGCCAGCCTTTGCGCCAAGGGGGGTGCCCTCAGGGGCGTGTTGGAGGGTAGAGTTGAGAAAGAACAGCTGGAAGTGGTGAAGCTGACATCGCAGCCACTCTGATAGGAAGTAGAAACAGAAAGTATAGTACACAGGTTCGCGGGGGTGCCCTTTTTCGTCGTGGTTGGGGGTCGTATTGGAAGTGAAAAAGGGCACCCTCGAAGGAAGTGAGGGGTGGTAGCTTGCTGTGCAGTGCCAACCAGTGAGCAAAGATGGTTATGGGGGGTCGAGGGGCGAGGTTATCGGGAGACTTTCGGGACGAGACATATATGCATATAGGTAGGGTGGAGAAAGAATTGCCGGAAGCGGTGAAGTTGATATTGCAGCCCCTTGACTGTGCAAGATGAAGTGATTGGTGAACATCGAGCAAAGCGTACCTTTGTGTAGTGAAGTCGATATTGTAGACACTTGCATGAGTAGAAAGAGAAGGTAGAATACCTAGTTTGGGGGGCCCTTTTCGTATTGGTGGAGGACCGTTTCCGAGGTGAAAAAGGGCGCCCCCAAGAAAGTGAGGGCGGTTGCCTGCTGCGTGTTGGCAAGCAGTGGGGAGCCTGTGGGCGAGGCCAGCGGCAGGCTTTTGTGAGGATACTTATGTGTATACAGGGAGAGTGGACAAGGAGTAGCTGGAAGTGGTGAGCCCTCTTCAGTCTCACAATTCAAAAAGGGCGCCCCCAAGCAACGCTTGCTTGCGCAACTGCAAACTGTTCTCTTTCCTGCTCTCAAGTATAGGGTGAATTCTAACCACTTTTCACGTCCCCTTGTCTTCCCTTTCCGCCGCAGATGGGGCGCCCTTTTCAGTCCGGCAACTCAATCCACTGCAAGCTGTTCTCTCGCGTGCCCTCAACAGATGGCATCGTGCACCCCATATGGGGCGCCCTTTTGAGTCCAGCTACTAGAACTTGCCACGGATAAAAAAGAAGGCACTTGTCAGCAATTCAAAACCTTCCGCCTCCAACGCTTGTCTGCTGCAATCTATTCTCTCTCCTGCCCTCAACAACCCCCCAAGAAACTCAAAACCCCTTCCTGCCTCATCCACGTGAACTCCAACCGCATAGGGGGTGCCCGTTTCAGTATGGCTCTTAAAAAGGGCGCCCCCAAGCAACGCTAAGCTTGCCCGCACTGCAATCTGTTCCCTTTCCTGCTCAAGTATATAGGATGAGTTCTAACCACTTTTCACGTCCCCTTGGCTTCCCTTTCCTCTCATCCACGTGAAGTCCCACCCCTAGTAAAAACAGTTCCAATGGCCTCCTGAGCCCCTCATGATGCTGATGACGCACTCTTCGCCGTCAATTACATCACTTGCATCACAACACCCCAAAAAGCACTCCTTTTCACTACCTCCTGGCCTTTCGCTCTCCCCCACCAGGCTCTGGATCAGCTTCCCCCGTCATATGTGTAGTTCCTCAACCGATTCCAGGGTTTCTCAGAAAAATTTGCGCGGTGGGTGAATAAAAAATTGGACTGTCGAGCCGCACGGTGTTGGAATCCGCCCCATATGGGACAATACCCCAATCTCCCGGTCTGCCTGCCCCAATCAAGGCCATGGGCATCCCTAATGGCATACCTGCCAAGGCCACACATCGAGGAGGACTCTGCTTCTCAGATTCACAAGTCAGCCTCTTATCGTATCCAATCGGTGTGAAAAGAGGCATCAAATGTATTTGCAACACGTCTCTCGCAGATTCTTGCAGCATCTGCCAACTAATGTCAACCAGCCGAAGATTCCCAAATCAAGGAATCGAATCCTTCGCGCCCTTCCTCAGTCCCGCTATGTTTCTCTGGATCACCGCGTTGGCCTTGTTGAAGGGGCAACAGGCCAATGCAGGGTAGCTGCCCATTGAAATTGCAGCCACATCCACAGCCTCAGAAGCGACAGCCTGCTGAGCTAGTCGAGACAGTGTCAAGCAATGTTGAAGTGCCAGTTCTCGTTTCTCAGCCAGCATGACAACTTGCTCCTCATGCTTAGGGGAGGGCTTCGACTGGATCCGTGGAAGACAATTGGGTAACGGAACCCTTGAGAAACAAAAGCGTTATGAGTGTCATCAGGACTGCTTACGCGTAGATGTTTGCAACAAAAAACAAGGCAGTCATGGGCAATACAGGGCGACTATGAGACTATGTGGTCACGTCTTCAGTGCCTCAAGGATGTTGGACCAACGACCAGCACTTACTTAGAGACAAGTTTGACCTATTGTAAATCAACACCTGGAGAAGAAAGCCTTTTCTGCCTGAAAAAAGGCACCAACGAGATAATGAGATTGCAACTTCCAAGACATTGGCGCATGGTAAAAAGTTTCTGTAGTAGGATTTAATAGGTACGTATATATTAGTAAAACACCAAGAAACAATATCTTTTCAATCTGGCCTCATAAGAATAGAACGACTTTTGCCCAACACAAATTACCCAACCACCCCAACTAGTCTGCAGTGAAATCAAACCCCTGCATTTCAGATTCCTTTGTTTTGTCACTTGGGGTTAGTGCGTGTGGAACACGGGGAGATGATGGGGTCTCTTCCTGTTGCTGACATCTAGGTGTTGATGCAAGGAGCCAGAGTCACCACCGCCTTGACCACCTTGTGCTGTGGGCGTACCGCTGGCATTCGCTGTGCCAAAGCTGCAGCTTGCCGCGTTGTTTGACATACCGCCTTAGCCGACCATAATGCCAAGACTGTGCTTCCACTCTCTAGGAAACTAGTTCATGCACATCAGTGCAAAACAAAGGGACTCGAGGTGCACGCTGGAAACACCATCCGGTGAATGAACTCAGCTCACAGGAAGTTGGCAGCGTTTCGCTCCAGTCTTGAATATTGAAGTGATATTATGTGTATATATATATATATATAGGAGCGACGATGTTTATTTGTTATGTGGGCCTTGCACATTTCAATTTGGTGAGTGCATTATTGTTTTCCACGTTTTGAACCTTACTTATGTTAAAGGCTGCGTTCACAATGCGGCAGACTTTTTGGACAAGGAAGCAGATGGGGATGGCCAAAACCCCTGGCATGGATGGTTCCGCGCTGCCACGACAGTCATCCATACTGGATGGATCAAGGCTCTGATCCAAACCCTGTGGATCACATGATTTGCTCACTTGATCCAAGCCTCATCCACAAGTGAACCCTGACACAGTGGACTCAAAGAGATGTGTGTGAATGTGTGCGTGTTTTTGTTCGCCTTTGTCATGCCATGTGTCTAGTCTCCCCATGTCACAAGGATGCATGGAATGCCCAGGCAATGCAAAAACCTCCTCCAGGAAAGTCAAGTTCACAATCAGGTGACACTTTTAATTTACTGGCTTCCGGTAAACCTTCTTTTTCGGCTCATGCACTTCCAGGTTCTTGGTTCCACCAAGAGTAGACAGGCAGCTGGATTGAGCTCACCACTCAATTTTCGGCTATCAGCAAACCATGTCCAAGTGGGGCACTGGTTTCGTAGCACAAGTTCGTCTACATTTACGTTGTCATTTGGTTATATCGTTTAGGTTATCGTTTGACTACAGCTACATTTCGGACAAACCTGTCGCCAAAGTCCGAAGTCAAAAGCGGCATTGGGAAAGGCTACACTAAGCAGAAATGAGGTTCCCTGATGGTCTTATATAATGGTTAAAAAGCTGTACTGCAGCTATGAAAACTAAGCTTTCCTATAAATATGATGCTATCATATATTACCGTTGTTTGATGAGTGTATTCTGATGTATTCTGTATTATCGTTTTCCAAGTAAATAGCTTTCCGCAAATAAATCAGGTTGCTCAGTTGCTCATATGAACTTTGACATAGGGAGCGGTGATTTCAACTGTTCCAGCTCCTTCACCAAACCTCGCCAGACTCTCACCGCAAGAAGCGGAGGCAAGTGTCGCGAAAGGCCATGAATCGTGGGAGGCAGGCTGAATTGTGTAAATTTGCAGCCATGTTTGTCAACTGTCAGACTGCAACATGCTTATCAGGTTGGTGCAACTTGACTGTTCAACACGATGTGGGCATTTTACTCGCTTCTCCAATCCAGTAGATTGTGTGACGGTTCACCTGTGTCAACCCAATGAGCTATGGATCACAGTAGCTTGATGTATTATTGTGATCATCCCGGGTCCCATCTAAAGCCTACAGTATATGTGGGTCATGTTTTGTAGACAAGACTCGCAAATCTGCTTGCCGGACAAGATGTTCGCTATGTTTATACTGTAGATGTTTATAGACTGGTATTATAGAGTGATCCTTCCTGCATTTGTCCGCCACGACTTGAGAAAAGTGTCGTATTCTATGTTACCAAAATGAGAAGCAGGGAGAAGACCGGGGTCACAAAAAAGCCTTAAAATTCCAAGATCTGCCCTAGGAACCACAAGCACCTAGATTGAGACATGTGGCTGCATCCACATGTGCCGGCACCGCTAGGACCAGCGGCAGCCCCGCACATGGTCGGGCAGCCACCACAGTTGCCTGCACTGATATCATCATCTCATGTCGTTCCATGAGTCTCAAAGCATGCGCACGCTCCACTCCAGAACTTGTATCGTGTCGAAACTGGACGGAAAACAGTAGTTGTGGATCCAAACTCAAGGAGCCAGGACGCTACTAGGGGCTCCTGGCATCGCTACTAGGAGCAAGGACGCTACTAGGGGCTCCTGGCCTTACTACTAGGAACAAGAAGCTATTAGAAACAAGAAATAAATAGAACCCCCTGTGCCTCGGAAGTTCTCCACATTGGCCCCAGCTCCACAACTGCAAGGCATGCATCCACAGCCGCCAGCACAGCCACCGGCACAGCCACCGGCACAGGGCATGCAGCCACCACAGGGCATGCAACCGCAAGGATTGCCTGGGCTCGGTATTCACCAAGTGCACCAACTGGGTCACAAAACCTCCGTAAACACCTCTTGCTACTGTTGGTTGCCCGCAACCATGCGAGATGATCCAGAAGGAACACCTTCCATGGTTCTACAAGTAGCATGTCATGTGATCCTCCAAATCTAATTGTGTCCCCACCGCAGTTTGCAAGAGTCAGCATCGACACTGGCTGGGGAGAGTGGTGGTAGAGTGAGATGCTCTGCAGCAAGGTCAAGGCATTTTGTTTAAAGCCTGGCTGGCTGCCCCGATCATGTCAGGTGGAAAAACAGCTGTCTATAGCACCACAGAAGTCCAATCAAGTCCATGAGTACTCTGAATACTGATTCGGTGGTGCCTGATTCTAGATTAAATGTATCATTTTCTCGGCTCCAACGATATAGGGCGGTGGTGTGCGTGCCGTGATACCCATCTTTCTCGCAGTTCGATTTCCACAATCGTGGTAAGCACGCATCCCACAGAAATGGCCATCAACGACTATCAACGACGTATCTGTTTAAAAAAGGACACAAGACTTGTGAAGGACAATGAAGCTTCCTCAGTCTCAGGTTCGCTCACTGATGACCCGCATGCATCAGTCAAGCCACAACCACAGCCACCACAGCCGCAGGCTGCACAGGCTCCGCAGCCTTGATTTCCGCAGCCTTGGTTCGCACAGCCCTGACCGCAGCCTTGGCTTCCACAGCCTTGGCTTCCGCAGCCTTGGCTTCCGCAGCCTTGGCCTCCACAGCCTTGGTTGCCACAGCCTTGATTTCCACAGCCCTGGCAGGCTACACAGCCGTTGCCGCCGCAAGCGCTGCCACAGCTCCCACAACCACCTTGAAGGCTTGTCATCAGAGAGGTGCTTTGCTTGATCTTACTTTGATGTGACATCATTGGCAATCATGCGTGATAGCACTTGCTGCACCGATGGTATCAGGAGCCAAAAACACATTTATCCTTATATAGTTGGTATCCTCTGTACTAATGGTCGGATTCTTCCCTTTCAGGTGCCGTCACTGAAACACTCATACTCATATAGACATTGTCATGATATTGTCAAGCCTTCATGCAAAATATCGAAGGCTTCTTGCACACCATGAGTGAGTTTTCACATAAACGAACACCAAATGAAATGTCCTGGAATCGCACTCCAATTAAAACTATAGAGAGAGAGAGGGAGAGGGTCTCTGGTGCCTTTGGCCTGAGCTCGAGGTGGTTTCAATCCCAGACCCAAGGATTTGAAACCACAACTCGTAGCACACAATCATCGTCTGCTGTCAAATGATGTCATATCTAGGAAGTACACCAACCTCACCATTCAAGAACGATAGTATAATTGGTTTGTAAATCTGGCGGCCGCAAGCAGGTAATTCTTTTCTAAATCATTTCGTCACGTGGCAGCCGAGGTTGGCATTCAGCCCACAGGGGCTCAGGTTTGACAGTGCGCCCATCTGGCCGCAGCCACCTTAGAAAATTGATGCACATGGGATGTCCGAGATTCACAACAAGTACAACTACTGCACACCGTTTCATAACATGAATTCTTCAGTTAGCAAAACACTTGGCGCATCTTGGCGCACTTTACTACCTGCAATTAGCTCTCTTCGTGGATAATTACATATAGACATGGACCTACCTGTGAACATACCAGTTAAAGGCCATAGTGCTATGTATAAGTAAGTAGCAGCAGTAGAGGCTTGATGTGGGCTCATTGGCAGCGGTAGCTCTGGTCATGGACCCTGCAGGCCAAAGGTGTTCAAACTAAGCTTGAACCTCGGTCGGCTGGTGCTCCGACAGGATCCGGGTGAAACATGGTGAAACAGTCGACGGATTTGATGTTTTGGATACTAATACAATTATGTTCAGGTTGAGGACTAGGTGGTGGAATTCTCTCAGTCGTTGTATCCCTCCCAGTCACAAGAAGTTAATCAAGCTATTGCTGCCTGAAAAGTGTCAAGTGTGAAGGTTGTCAATCCATTTCCTGTTCAAGGCGTTCTCTGAAACCTGGCTACATCACAACAAGTGATTTTTCGTGATTTCTACGGATAAAGTGCATCAATGATGTGCACCAGCTACAACCTTCCTCCGACCCAACCAATCTTATCTCAGCCACCGCTGCAACAGCCGCCACAGGGACAACCTCCTGTGCAGCCGCACGCAGTGCAGGCTCCACAGGCTCCACAGGCTCCACAGCCGAGTTGTGCTCCCAATTGGCCGCAACAGCCGCCACCTCAGCGCCGTTGGGACTGCAGCTATTGACATTGAAAGAATATGATATAGCATGTCAGATCCGATTATGGGGGATTTAGTGTCGCGGTGCGTCTAGTCTGCTGCCTTGTATCTTCATTCTGTATTATCTGTATTCCCTTTTGTTGATGTTGGTTGTCTTCCGGACGAACTCCCGGTGCCCCCCAAAAAGTCCCCGTGACAAACACTTGAGGTTTCTCACCCCCGGTCTCAGCTGGTCCCAAGTGACAGGAGCTCGGTCCGGATCCCAGGTTGGGCTCCATGGAGCGGCCCATAGCACAGGGCCCTTTGCCTGGCTGATCTTCTGAGAACAAAACTGTCAGTCGGTATCGTTGTGTCAGATTGTTCTAGTCAACAGTTAATCTAGCTATTCTATTGTCAAAGAGTTGATAGATTCAATCCCTTCAAACACAAGGTACAATACTCAAGTATCGCAACCGCCATTGGATCACCCTTTCGACAGGATATATCAGGTGCTTGGTCCTGTTGGCCTGTTGCAACCACCCCAGGGCCCCAAGGAGGAAGCAAAGAGTTCCCCTGGCTCCAACACCCCCACATGCCACAGCTGCCTGGGCCAGGGCAACCACCCATGACGCAGCAGCCCCCACCACAGCAGCCGCCCATCATACAGCCGCAGGGCTGGCCTGATATGCTCAGTCATCGAGTCATGGAGTGAAGAATCCTCGAAGTAGACAAGGCCCTCCCTGTTAATGGTGTCTCTTGTGAAGTTTTTCTTATCCGCATGGACATCACAATGGGGATTTGCCTTGTCCAGAAGAGATGTCCAGTGAACCGGATGATCTTTGTCGGCTTATGAATGCGTAGGTGCTAGTATACACAAACAACCAACACAATACACATCAGCACAGCATTCTTCTTATGCAGGGTCTTACTGGATCCATGACCACTAGTGGTGCCATTGTCAGGATTTGTCATGCAAACGATGCGTGTAATTACCCCGGTTAGGCCCTAATGGTCCTAACTCCTAACCATTTCTTCAATCTGTGGCAGGGCTTCTGGCGGAAGGAGCTGAATTGCTTTGCAGCCTGTAAAGTGTAGAAAGACTGCTGGTGAATGCCTTCCTCAACACGTGCAGATGTTACATACAATATATATATATTATATATATATATATTGGCACCACGGCACCGAGGTACAAAAGACCTAGTAGCATCCTTGCTCCTAGTGGTAAGGCCAAGAGCCCCTAGTAGGGTCCTTGCTCCTAGTAGTGAGGCCAGGAGCCCCTAGTAGCGTGATTGAACCTGTGATCTTCACAAAGTAAAGTACAACCAAGTTCTTCAAAAAGCCAGTGACCACCGGAAGCAAACACACACACACACATGGCGTGTCCAGGCTTGTGCTCAGTGCATCACAGCATCACTGGGGCTCCGTACAGCCAGCGTTCATGCCACACCCGCTGCAGCCAGCGTTCGGGCCAGGCCCTCCGGCTCCGCCCGCTCCGCTCGCTCCGCCCCCTGCGCCTGTTCCGCCGCCTGCGCCCGTTCCGGCTCCACCTGCCACGCCCGGTGCGGGTGTGGCACCACAGCCTGCGAGGCACTGCAAGGGGTCGAAAAGATTGAGAAAGCATCAACCTGAGTCAAACAACCTGGTACAGGGCATCGCTACTAGTAACAAGGGCATCACTACTAGTAGCAAGAAACTATTAGTAACAGGTCATTCGCTATTAGTAACACAGAAGTGTGCTCAGTGCTCAAGAGCTGAATTGCTTTTCTCTAGGTTAAAAACTTTGCTCTGTCCCAAGTACACCTTATTGTCTGGCCAACCTGTGCATCTGGGATACTATTGGCTCTTCAATCACTTGCCAGTAACACCTCCACCGGTCTCCGGGCGTCGTTCTTTCTGCATCTTGCGGTTGCGCTTCTCGCGCTTGCCACCTCGTCAGAGTTTGAGATCACCCCCTCCAGATATGGAGAGGCCAGTGGATTCAGGAAGAGAATTTGGCCAGGCCGATCCAAAACTGCTCCACATATTCTGCTCCGATGGCCAATTTTCCCAGAATGGGGCACAGATTTACACGGGGTCATTGTTCTCGTCTCCAGTACTAGAAAGTCACTTTTGAAGCAGGGACCAAATTCCCCCAACTGATAACCATTGGTACCGTCTCGTACAAACCGATGAGAAGGTGCAAAACTCAAACAAATCATTTGTTGCACTTTCCGCAGTTCATAGAGATACTGAACACGTCCAAGGACACGTCCAAAGCTGGTTGGTTCATCCTCACTAAATGAACTCAGAAGTTTTATGTTGAGTTGACAACACTGAAAGACTGCTTCTGCTTGTGACATGGAAAAGCTGTTGGTGCTTGGAGGGAAGAGACTAAGCAACAGCCTTTGTTCCACCAAGGATGTGGACGACAACACATTGACATTTCTATCATTTGCAAGGATCCAAAATCACATAACACTGAAATTGATCTGCCACGCGCACACACACACAACCCTTCACTTCCCGCGCGCCTTTCTGTCCTGACGAAGCAGGCATGCATACCGACATTCGATAAAGACCCTTCGAAACCAGTTCGCAAGCAGCACCTGCAAGTCCTATACATCCACTCATGTTTGCCGTTCGTTGTGAATCAGCTTCGTGGATGTTCATGTATTAAACAAAAGGATTCCCATCTGTCTAGAGACTCAGAACCAAAACTGTGCTGATTCACCATCCCGGTCCTTGGGTATCTGCCTCGCCACCTTGGTGTGACAAAATCTAATATATATATATTATAGAGAGAGATCTTAGGTTCTGCACTAGGCAGTAGGTGGAAGCAAAAGGTACAGAATTGCAGTATTACAGTATCTGTTTTCTTTGACCTTTGCGGCCTGAAAAACAAAACACTTATGATAAACCCCAAAAAGGCAAGGGCATTTGTTGATCAACCAAGGACAACAACGAGAACTAGCGCACATTGGGCACCTACAACTGAAAACGTTGGGCACTGTGAAAGTTACTGTCCAAATGTGCATCTATATACATTTCTATATATGTGTGGATGTTGAAATGGTGCAAGCTGTGCAATCTCTTCATGTTCAAGAAACAACATTGTCCTTGATGCTTGCACAAATCATTGCTGGGCTCTCGTCCCTTTCCAAAAAAAAAGTATATGATACAGGATAACATTGTCACGGTCGGCGTGTCTCATATGCTGAAATAGGCTAGGCAATGCAAATATCAAACAATAACCTTTTGTTGGCCTCCCACTAATAAAACCACTAAATAAAGCTAAACAAATCCCAACAAAATTGATAAACAACACCTAAATATCATCACAAAAAATGATGATTTTTTGTTCGTTTTTTTGGATTCAGCCGCATATTTTTGGTGGTTGTGATGACTTGCTCACAGCTAAAGAACAATCTGTTAGCTGTATTTAGTGTCTATGCCTTTCATTTGTTTAATGATAATCAGTTAATGATCGTTCATGGGTTCCCCCTTTGGATTCCTTCAGAATTCCTTTCCTGTGCATTTCAGCCCTTGGAACTTCTCCACAATACTAACTAACTCCCTTTCATTTCCCTTTCATCTCAATATGGGAACCTGGGGGTGAACACTATTTCGTGTTTTTGCGGGGCCCCTAGTTTATCAACCACAGGCCAACAATAGAAATCTCCAAAACATCATTTGATCGCCAAATCGAAAAACAAGTGACCCGAAATCCAACGTATGTATCTTCGTAATGACGACGTACTTTTCACCCTTGAACTCATTTGAGCTGAAGAAAATCACCGTTCTAAAATTCTTGTCCTAGCTTCGAAACACAGCAATTCCAAGCGGTGGCTTTCATGTACACAACATCTGTTCATGTATACGGTTGTATGTTGTGCGTGCCCCTTACATAGCTGCACCCTTACTTGCAGGTCAAGCGGTTCCGAATGTGAAGCTGAAAGTAGCAGTCCTCTTATACCCAGAAACAAGTTGTCAAGAAATGATAGGTGATTTTCCTATCACTCTTCTCTTTTTTCGTGCATACAAAGCCCTTCACCACAGTTTCACTCACTCTCATCACCCCAGCACAACGTCGTGCAGGCACTCCGCTTGTGGGTGTATGTCTCTAGTGACTCTAGTGTATTGAGTAGTAGCCCTGGAAAGCAGTTGGTCAAAGTTGCAAAGTGGTCTAGCGCGGATCTAGCGCGCTCCCCTGCCAGTGCCTCAGGCCACCAAACGGCTGTGGTCAAGAGCTTCCTAGCTTTGAAGTATAGTTATACAATCTTCCACGCACGAAGAATCAAAGCGCAATGTGCACATGCCCGCAATGGATGGGTGTCGGTGTCCCCTGCTTACATAAACCATTTACAGCATATTACAGCCAAAATGGCTGTGTCCAGACGCTGACAAAGATGAACTCAGCTAAAGAATGCTTTGTCCCACAGGTTGTGCGTTCAGTTCATACCTCAACAAGTTTGCCAATGTATGTGTTGCTGGTTAATCCTACCTAAGTACTTGAACCTAGCGCCAAACCTGGCGCAACCCTGCGTTTTGCTAGCGCGACAAGGTAGCATCTCCAAGTTAAGCAACAGAATACCAGGCCGTGGCCAAGCTATTTCTGAACCTCGGGGAACCTTCCTTATTTAATACTTATTACCGGGTTTATTTTTTCAACTCATTTGGATCTTCTCCATGTCGGCCCTCTCAGCCCTGTCGGCCGCCTTGGTTCGGACGTTCCCATCCAAGGCCAGCCGGTCCACTTGGGGTCGAAGGAGACCTTGGGTCGAGTGGTGAAAATATCGCTAGGAACATGATGAACGACAACATCAGGAACTTCTTTCAACATGGAAGGCTAACTAATTGTGTCAAACTCTGTTATTTCCGAGTCACAGGATTGATTGATCGGGGATGGCATCGCAAGCTGTTCCATCGTGCAAGGATCCTGCAAAGGCCTCCCCAAACTTTTGGGCTGTTGTGTTTCCGACAAATGATGCGGGGATGTCTTCCAACTGCCAGCTATACTACCAGTTTATCCTACACAATTCTTAGACTTAGGACACCCCGCTGTTGCCAATTCATGCTCTGCTCGTTGGACCTGAGTGGCGCACTGCAGGAAAGGTCTGAACAACAAAAAGAAGGCAAACTGCCCTTCAGTCCAGCTGTAGGCCATAGCCAAAACATGAGAGTTGAGAATATGAAGTTAGGAGATCAGTTCTACAAGATCTTGGCAACCTTACACGCACTGCTAGAAACTTGCATTCCATGGTGACTCTCTGTGGCAGGAGAAACCCCCACCGAACAAATGCTGTATGAAGCTGTTTAGTAGTTTAGCAACTCTGGGTACTAACAGCAGAAGATGTGTCTGTGCTGCTTACAGTAGCATCCGTCGGCCCCTTTGTTCACAAGGTGCTGTACATGTGATTCTTACTTCCAGTCCAAGTTGTTGTAAACGAGACTGCCAGTTGCCCTTCTCTTCCCAGGCAAAATGGCTAAGCTCTGTGCATTGGTCCCGGCAGGATGGGCGATTGCCGCATCTGGTTTGCACAGGGGCTGCGCCTCAAATGCCGAGTACACAGAACCCGAAATTGTGTGGCTTGTGGGGCCAATGGATGTCAGAGTGAATATACTAAAATGATTATTGTTGATCATTGATCATCCTGGAGTAGACTAAAATGTGATGTAACATGTGCCATTTGTATGAACTCATTGCTTGACAGACAGGTGGGCTAACCGGCTTCTTCATGTTTGTTTCCTGTCAGAGGACCACCAACAACAGAAATGAAACCATGCCCGTGCGCCATTGCAACATGCGGTATACTCATCATAGGAAACTGCAAGATACGGAAGCCTTCACAATCCAAATGTTGTGTAGCTTTGACATTCTGTCAGAGCCAGGAAAATCTCACAATGTCTTGCCGAGAGTTTTCAAAGAGCCAGGTCCAGCGAACAAACTGCATGGGCAATGAGGTTTAACTTTCTTACGCCGGATTCATCTTCATGTGGTGGAGGCATTCTACAAGTAGTGTGTATATATACCAATATGCATATCATATAATAAATATATAGTTGTTCTTTTTGCAATGACATGGCAACATTGGTAACCTGACTGTGGCCGCAACCGAACACCTATTTTGGTAGCCTCTTGTGCACACATCTTGGACTCCAGGTGGCTTTCGCTGAACATGTCCTTGCATAAGCAATCCCAACAGCTTCTCACGGACTGAGGGA